GGGATACCTCCAAATTCATCCTTAATAACAGCATGCATCACTGGGGAGACCGAAGAGCCAGCGAAAACTACCTACGGCGCAAGCAGGAGGTGGTTTCACAATCAGAACTAAACCTGCTTGCCTCCTGCACACCTCTAGGCTTCACAGCACGGCGTTGAACGTGAAATGAGAAGCTGAAACTGAAGAAGTTAAAGAAAATGGAGCACGCCAGCGCTGCTAGTCTGTGCAGAGCTGGCACGTCGCACGGCCCTGGCTTTCCTCTGCTTCTGCTAAAGCCTGGAGGCCTGTCTAGCAGCTGTAAACAAGGAGGAGGAGCCGGCCTGGCTGCATGTAGGAGGAGGAAAGGGCCTGGGAGCTGCTAGCAGGACCAGCAACCCAGGTGATGGGGCAGGAGCGCAAAAAGGGAACCTGATGCCAAACCCGATGCTGGAGAAGAGAGGCAGAAAGCGGTCTGAGCGTGTCAGGAGAGGGAAAACGTGACCACAATAACAAGGAGAAGCAGGCTGCATCGAAGAGGCTTCGACCTACCTGGAGAGCGCGCGTTTCCTCTCGCCGCACAAGCATTCGCCGCCGCCGCCACCGCAGGGACGACGCTTGGTTGTGAACAGGAGGGGAGAAGCCACCGGGACGGCAAGGCGGGAGCATCTGCGACCTGCTGCTGCTGCCCAAAGGAAGCAGCTTTCCAGCTCCTTCCTGGGAAATTTGGGGGCTCTGTGAAAAGGCTGCAACACCTCCTTTTCTCTGCTCGGTCCCATCGGCTTTTCTGTCCCCCTCCCCCTCTCACAGGGCAGCCCCTCCCCCACACAGACACACCCCAGGGGGAGGGGCACATTTCCCACCATTTCTCCCGCCTTGACTAGCCGCCGCCTCTTCTCCCATTGGCTGCAGCTTTGTGATGTTCGAGAAGGGGCGTGGCTTGGGGCCACAGCCCTGAGCTGGTGGAGCAGAGGTGGGTGGGGCTGGTGCAGGGGGGGCGGGGCGTGTTGGAGGAGGGTGGGACAGGAGATGGGGTCAGGGTTGGGTTAGGGGGTGCCAGGGGGCATCAAAGACGATTGTGTGGCACCTCCTGGCGGCCACGACCAGGTGGACAAGGCTGCTCTGAGCCGAGGCCCCGGGGGCCGGGCTGTGGGTTCGCCCCTGCAGGAACAGGACAGGGCCGGGGAAGCGGCTGGCAGGGCCCTGCCCTCGCGCCTCTGCTCCTGGGCCCTAGAGGCTGCAGCAGGCACGCCGAGATCCCCAAAATGCCTCTTGTCGAGGGGAGAACGTGCTGTTAGAGACCCCTCTCGCCGCCTGCCGCGTCGTCCGTGCCCCACTGCCTCGAGCCGGCTGCCACAAGCAGGACGGTGGCTTGAGGCGCCCCAGGCGAAGGCCGAGCGTGGGAGCAGGGGGTGCGGGTACACCCCGCGGCCTCCAGGACCTTGCCGCCCACACCCGGCCCCATAGCAGACGCTGTGCTGTCTCCGCTAATCGTTTTGCGCTGTTGCTGGAAATGCTAAACCCCCGTTGTACGGGCAGTCCTCAGACTCGCGACACAATTGGCTCCTGAAAACCGCGTCTTCAGTCGAAACATAACTGGGAACCGCTTTTCCCATAGGAAACGACGTTATAAATGGGGAATTGGTTCCTGAGCCGAGGCCCGATACCCTACTTTCACCAAAAATAACCCCAAATTTTGTACTCAATCAATTATAGATGAGTAATATAGCTACCTGAATGTATTTATATTGTAAATAGCAATCATACTGATTTGGAAGGACTTCTTTGAGGTGACTTTGCTGGACTTTTTAAAAGGCTCTCGGTTGGATTTTTTGAAGGGTTGTTGGCTGGAGTCTTCTCAGGAGACCTGGCTACAGGTTTTTCTAGAGTCTTGCCTGCTTTCTTAAAGACAGTGTCCAAGAAAGTTTGGACAGATGTTCTCCAGGGAGATGGGCGACGCAGCGAACTTGTTCGCTGGCGCGGCGTGGCATGGGATCAAGCGTTGTAAAGTCGAAACTGAGGTCAGAAAGTTGAAACAGGGTGTCGGTTTATAAACCTTGTACGTGCAAAACGTTTTAACTCAAAACGTCGTAAGTTGAGGACTGCCTGTATGTGTGTTTAAATGAAAAAACAAAAAGCCAAGTCCCCACCCAGGCTCTCAGACTCAAAGCAGGGTGCAAGGCCCCAGCCAGAGCTACAGTATTTCTCAGCTTCTCTGTTCCTAGACAAGCCACATTCTGCCCTTTACACGTTTGGCATCTCTGTTGTCTTCAGATTGTGCCTTATGAAGACAAAAACGTTGCCGAGCACTATGCTGCCATGAATAATAAGCTACATCTGTCCTACCCTATCATCTTCAACAAGCCTGCACGGCTGTCTGAATATTTTAGTAGGAAAGCAAAAAAGGGGGATAAATTCATGAATCTGAAAGTTATTGTAACCTATTTTTCCTTCCTTTGCTGAATGCACAATCTTTTATTGTTGCTAGTTGTTTAAGGACCAGTTGAAACATCCCCCACCTCAAAAAACAACTCCCAACCAAAAAAAAAAAAATCCTTGAAGAGACGCAATGGTGTAAAATAGGCTATTCCTTGTTGTGTCCTTTGCTGACAAAATCACAGCCATGCTACATGTAACAGGGATTTCTCCTTATACCATACACTTATTTAAATGAGGAGCTTTTTTAAAAGTAAAGCATCTGTTTTCTGTTAGTATCCCTGCCTGAAATAATTCAAAATCCTCCCGTTGAAGGCAGAGCCCTGCAGCCAGCTGAAATGATTCGTTAATGGCCTCTGGCTAGAGCAGAACAGTCCCTGTAATGTGTGTGTTTACGGTGTTATCAGGGGATAAAGCCATTATGAGATGAAGCAGCTGATATGACCTGAAGAAAAACATAATGAAAATGACATTGAATAATATGCAGATCATAGAGGTGACATAACCATGTTCATCTCTTATTTCTGGCAGCAGCTTCAGCCTGCAGAACACAAGGTAACTCATACAGCTGAGATTAGAAGGACGGTTGATACTTCAGCAGCAAAAGGTAATACTGATGCTTTTCTTTGGTCGGTGTATAAGGATTCAGGTTTTATATTTCTAACAGGGCTCCAAGATTCCTCAGGACACTGCATGCTACAGAAATATAAAGTTATCAACAGGAAACATTTTTTTTTTTTTTTTTAAAGCGTGCAGGTAAATAGGAAGGAATATAAGGGCCTAAATCTTGTCAGTGGTACCTAGGTTGTGTCTTTTTAAAATGGGACTTTGGATCAGAACTCACTTGTTCTCTTCCACAGTAGTAACTGGTGCAGGAAACCGACATGAACTTGGGTAAGAGACACAGGGAGATGGAACAAAAATATAAAATTGAATGATGTATTTTGTTACCTTCTTTTTTGATGGTCAGTTCAGATGTTTAACTATAAGCAAATGCAATGGCCGTGTCCAGATGAGCGAGACCGTGTGGCATGTGGTGCTGTAGACATGTCTGCAAAGTAGCACCACGGGGGGTGACCCCTTGATATCCAGGGGTCAAAAAACCTATGCAAAAAAACAAACAAACTGGAGGGGCACGTGCAGTGGCAGCGTGCGCCGCTCAAAACCGGAGGCTGGTCAACTGGTGCCATGCTGCAGCTGCCAGCCAGGCTCCGAGCGGCAGGATTGCTACTGCTGCAGTCCCAGGAGGCCCCCAGGGCTGGCCCCAGCCTCCCCTATTCCACCCGGGGTTACCTGCTGCACACCAGAGTGCATGTGGCACAGGCGTTCCCTGGGGACAACTAACAGTGGCACACTAGCAGGTATGCCACTGCTTCTTGTCCCCAAGAAAAGAGACTTCCACACTCGTCTGAACACAGCCAATGAGACCACTCTGTCTCCAGGTAGATACCTGGGTTCGCAGATGGCACAAACCCAGCTAACTCTCTGTTCCTAGCAATCCATCACGTTCTCTAAAGACTCCTTCGCATTTTTCCCTTTCAAGAATTGGAATCAGAGGAAAGCATCAGACCAGGGCAGCACTGAGCTAATAACTCGTATTCTTGCCTTTTCTGGATGGGCTGGTTCTTGGGTACATCTCTGAAAAAACCTGTTTGTAAATGGAGTCTCCACTTATTCTGCAGACAGGAATAAGAAGCTCCATTTCTGAGCAAGTCCTCCCGAGTCTTTGTTTGAAGAGCCGAGCAGGCACGGAGAACAACTGCGCTCGGTCCCACTGTAATGCCAAAACAGAGCCCGAAGAGGGCTCCACAATTCCAAATGAAACTCAGCCACTGCTGGTCCAGTGAAATACCAGCTTTTGAAAAGGGGATCTGCTTACATGCAACCTTAATCAATGAACAACTTAGCTGCTCTTGCACTGAGAGTTTCTTTTAAGGTCATAGATCCCTGAGCAAAGAAACCCTGAGGAATGGAGAAAGAGGGGAACATATTGGTATTTTTGGGTCTGGGTGGTCAGCCCTTTCCTCTTGTTTGCAGACGTGAACAATGTCTTCTGACGATCACTGGTCTGCAGTGGAAGAGGACACTCAAGCATCAAAATTGGCCAGAAAATCCAGGGAAACGCCCTTTGTGCCCATCGGTGAGTAGAATCCGGCTGCCTTTGGAAACTGCTAAGCGTTCCACGAGAGCAGTTCTGTGCTAGTTCTCAATGGATTTTCCTCCCAAAAGAGGCTATAGTTACATACACTGAACACACAACAGGAAGACTGATTCTGTTGAAATGATAGGTTTTTTCTTTCCCGTCTTTCCAACAGCAATGCCCCACTCCTATTTAGAGTAGCTCTGTTGCACAGGTGGCTGATGCTTAGTTCCCCGTTTGGTAGAAACCTGTTACAACTCCTTCATTTAAGAGGCATCTGCTGTAACTAGCTTCTCTAGCTTCCCTAGGATCTTCTCAATACGGTTCCTCCATCAGATTCAGAGCTTGAGGTGTATATACCCCAGAGTCCAATCTTTATTTACATTCAATATATTTCAGAGGAACAGGAATCTAGGCAGGAATTGTGCAGAGCTCAAGAGTCGAGCAGAAACCTGGCCAAGATTCAACCATTAAACTTCATTAATTTTCCACGAATACTTAGCTGCACCAGATCAATGGCAGAACAGAAGCTTTTCTAGACCTTGTACATACCAGGCTAATGAACACAAGCTAATCTGTATGCACTGGTGTCAATTAAGCAGCTTGCAAGGACAACAGCTTGCTTTTTTGGAACGTGCAAAAGTGGTTGCAATTAAAAGATAAAAAAATTAGTTAAATTAAATTGATGCATCAAACAACAAGAGTGCAGAAAAGCCATAAACCAGGCCTGACTTACTTGCACAAGCAAACAGTGCAGAGATCAAATCAAATATCTGAATGACACTTACCTCCCTGCTTCAGAAGGGGAGTAATTCTGGTTATCCTGGATGGGATGGAGGAAATGGAGCAACCATTTTCTGGTCCAGAAGGGTAGTTGAGTCCGTTCAAACAATGTGGCTAACTTGGCATTAGGTAAACCCAGTTTTTTTAATGCAGGCAGGGTAAGGTCCGCAAACTCTTACACTAACACCCCAATTCCTCACCTGAGGCACTGCTTGGCACATCTTGCTGTAGAACAGTGATTCTCCACCGCTGCCACAGTACCTTAGGGTGCCTTGAGATCCTTTGAAGGGTGCTGTGCCATGTTAGCACTGTTAGGTTTGCAAACCTAAGATAAACCCAGAGATTTCACACAGGAATTTGGTGTTTTGGCAACAGAAGAACTGCTCTATTAATTTTTCTGTAATCAAAAAACAAGTTAAAACTAAGAGCTGACATTTTCCAAGCAGACATTTTGGACCTCGAGTCCAAAAAGGTTGAAAACCATTTCTCTAACGAATCAGATCTGTAGAAGCACCTGGTCTTGAAGCCAGTTATCTTTTCTCGTTGGAAGCGTGCACTGTATTTTCCCTTTCTCCTGAATGTTACAGGGGTGGCAGGCTTCGTTGCTGTTGTGGGGTATGGTATCTACAAGCTCAGACACAGAGGAGACCAGAAAATGTCTGTCCATCTCATTCACATGAGAGTTGCAGCACAAGGGTTTGTCGTTGGAGCAATAACATTAGGTAAGATGCTATCTGGTTTGACCAGTGGCCTTTATTAAGATATCACTGCCAGATTGGGACCTCAAGGGAAGGCTAGAAAGGGGTTGGGAGATAGAATGAGGTTGTCTCCCATGCCTATTAGGAACTTAGCTGTGTAGCTTGTTGCCCTCAGCAATAGGTGTTTTGCCATTCCAGAATTAATAGCTATCGCCCCTAGCCACTGATTCATGATGCAGCCACATCAAAAGGGTCCAATAACCTCCCCCGTTTATGTCTAGTTGTGAACTTAGGTTCATGACTAAGTGGTGTGAAGAAACAGTTAAGGAACACATTCTTTTTTTTTGCCACTAAATAATTTTACCTCTGCTAAAGTTGGGAGATGGAACATAATTAAAAAAAACAACAACAAAAGGCAGCAAAACTGCTTGCCTAACGATGAATCACTGAACTGTGTTCTGTAGTAAAGATGCCAGCAGGCAACAAACGCATCTGCTTTTTTTTTTTTTGCTAGGTGTTATCTACTCTATGTACAAGGATTTTGTTAAGTCTCCACTCAAGACTGGGACCAAAAAGTGAGCCAGCTCTGTGGGAAGAGGCAGGAAGGGGACGCACGCGTTCTGCACTTACTGTTTAGAATTTCTCTGTGTAAGCGTTATTGTCCGGAAGCTCATTTTGAAGGCAACCAGGAATTCTGTTGGCTGCGTCATTGGAGAAGCTGCTGTCCCCCAAAGCACATCAGAAATTATATCCAAATTTGTTAGGAGCCTCTACACATGAGACCCCTGTGTTACAGAAACAGCACTGCAGGTCCACGCTTGCCTATTTATGCTATTATTTATATAAAGTAACCTATTTGGCTAAAATAAAATACTCTTGAAAGTTTCAGCCTGTTTAAGATAATAGTTATTAGTAGCTACAGACTCTCCCTGAAATATAGTGCGCCTGTTTCCTGGTCTCTCTGGGTTCACTTAATTACTATTGAGACCTTCACCTGTAAGAGATGTTTTATTTAACGGAGACAATGGTAATGCTGTCTAACCACAACAGCGATTAACTTGATACAAGTAATGAGATTACATGGGAGCTTCTCCTTCCCAGGAAAGCAGCAGTGTTTGTAAACAAAAGCTGGGCTCCAAGAGATAACGCTATATATAACCAGGGACTCCTGGTTCAAGCTGGGTTTGCTGCCAAAGAAAAGGCAACAGATGCTTGCCTGCTTGCACCTTCTGGGGTAGAAGCCAAAATAGGCTGCCTCTGAAATTATTCCTTGACTTTATAAAGACTGTCCCCTCCGTGTAGCTACAAAAGGAAAGGGAGTCCAGGACCTAAATGCCACTAGATCACTTGGTAGAACCCAGATTTATATAGGCAAGGTAACATTTTAATGGGATTTACTCAAAACAGAAACAAGAGGTGCCTGTAACAGGACTTTTTGCTCGTCTGCAGAGTCATGCAGGAAAGTTAACCCGAGTTGATTCAAGGTGAGAATTTAGAGTGGCTTAGTTAACGTACATTAGGCTCCGATGCGGACACTCTCCTTCCAAATTCAGCTTACCTTAATGTATTTGGGAAGTGAATGAGGACTGAAACAGAACAAAGCTACTTCAGTGTTAAATGAACAGGTCCACATGGGGCTTAATGAGCCTTAACTAATCCACATTCAAGTTTTGTTCATATTAATTTCTCTGAGCATCTGCAGGCAGCCATGTGCTTGGTTGTAAGCATGAACAGAAATAGGATCAGAGTACTGGACTGATAGTGCGGGTGCAAATTTGGGGCCAATCTGATAGGCACCTGTGTGAGCCCTGTTCCACCCTGCTCAAGCCTTAAAAAGAGCGGCACACCTCCTTTGATAACCTAACAGCTAAGATGATGGATTGTTAAGTCCCACAAAGCAGTGAGCAGGAGGAGGGGCCACCCCGTGTTTGCATACATTGCTTTTTCAGCAGGGTGGTGATGGATCACACTTAGGTGCCTAGGGAACAGGATCTGGTGCTTGCGGTCTGGTACATTTTTGCCCATGCTGCAGTTCAGATACAAATACATACTTTAAATGCTTCTCACTGCAGTTTGACGCCAGAAAGACTATCCTTTGCTCTACGAGCAGGTAGGATTTAATGCATTTTACATACCACCCACATCACAGCTCCACCACAAACAATGGCGGGCCCTTTGTACAGCCTGTTCTTGTACAAGAAAGAAACACTGAAAATCATTAGACTTTTTTTCCAGGTCAGATCACCAAGAATGTGGCGTGGTTTCTTAAGTAGATTAAGACTGAGCAGAAAAGGCTAAAGTGAATTTGACATGTTTATTTGAAAGTCTGGACCTTCACCATGTTCTTCACAACCCAGATGATAATTTAATAAATTAGGGCCAAATTGGAAGAACAAAAATGATTCATTGGTTAAAAAACAAATTAAAAACAGAAGTAACAGCTACCCCAAAACAGAACCCAGATGCAAATTTGGAAAAATATAATCCAGCATGACTTTCATGCGAAGGAAATTGTGTCTCAGAGATCTTAGCACATTTATCCATTTGAAGGAAAAAAAACAACAAGCCCATAAGGAAAAAGCCACACACACGCGCGCTCTCAGGTTCTGAGTTTGGAAACTTCCAATGCTCAGACGTGATTCTGAGTACCGCTCGAGGCTTCCCGAAATGCCACGAACACACAAAGCTGGTGTATAACACGTGTGCCAAGTCTGTGATGTTCTGAACTGTGAAAATTCAACCAACTCCCTCCAGAACAGAGGGCAGATCAAAGGCCATGTTTCACTTGTAGATGAGAGCGGTACATGGTTTATTCAGGCATGGGGGCTAACCATAGAGCCTAATGTGAAGTCATTTCTGAAGTTCTCTAGTTAGCACTTCACAGGCATATGGCACATGCCACTGGGAGATCACACTGAAGAGATCAGCTTCGCTCCTAAAAGTACACAGAGAAGCTTGAACCAAGTATTCTACAGTTCTCTCATCAGGCATTCCTCTGAAGTCTAAGCTTGCATTGCCTCTAGAAAGAACCTGGATTTTGGTTTTAAAATCTAAAAGTACAGTTTAAGAGCAAAACATTTCAACACACTGCTTGTCAGTCAAAGTGCTGGGACTCCTGACAGCAGAGAAATCACATGTTGGAAGGAACGCACTACGCTAACCTTTTTGTATTCTCCCGTCCCAGCGGTGCTGTGATTACAGCAGCATTCAGCAACATTGTTGGGGGGAGCACTTTAAATAAAACCACGGTGCACAGAACAGATATTGAAGAACTGACCACATGGGGAAGAGGCCAGTGGGAAAGAGAGGTGGGCCATTCTCTTGAAGTGTGGGGCCTCTTCAGATGGCCACAGCAGAGGCTGGAGAGGTCTGAAGTGGCAGGTGTTCAGCTACTGGAGGTCATGCAAGTATCTGGATAGCTAGCATGGGGCATTTTGGAGAGGGAAGGGGATGATAAAAGAGCAGATCACCTTGTACCCAGCCCTGCTTGTTCAGAATAACATGCCCTGAGCAATATACAGACAGCAAGCATGCTTCTTCCTTAGTCTCCAGGGACCTTTAGTTTCACAGTCTTCTGGTTAATTATTTCTTGCCATGTCATCTCCACTTGCAATCAAACGAAAAAAAACCCTTCAAATGATGCCCAACCAGACAAGTTTGTCATTTTTCAAAAGTCAGAAAAATAAAACAGTGTCCTGTCATTTAGCCTAAGAAACACCAGGCAGGACAAGATCAAATCTAAAAAAATTAATAAAATATCAAAATCCCAGTAATTCTCCACCCAGATTATTTACTTGTATCAAAAAATATTTAAAGAAAAGAATAAAATAGCTAAAAAAAAAAAAAAAAAAAAAACACCAGTGGGGTGTGTGTGGGTATGAAATTAGCCTGACCGTGGCTCTTCGCTGGTCTTGTGACAGCTTTCAAGGCTGATGTAAAGTGCAGCACCTGTAAGTTCCATGTAACACTCACATTAACACAACAGTTGCATCCTGCACTCCCTGCAGGAAATCTTAGCGTTGTTCGTGATCCTTGACTGTACCCGTTTCTGAGCTAACGAAAAAAGGAGGGCAAGTAGTTTTCTGCAGCACCACGGGGTTTCCAAATAAAAACCCATCCATTCTGCCTACCGCAGCTCAGGAAGTCATCTATTCACAACCGAGTCTGCATCGACATTATTCAGAAGGAAGAGTTCAGGGTGAGTTTTGAATCCCAGCCGATACTAGAGAAGGCAAAGAAGAAGGAGGTTAGGGAAACTGTTATGGTAACAGAAGTCAAAGATGGTGAAATCAAGTGTGATTAGATTCAAGTCTATAAACCAGCATTAGTGGGACCAGAAGGGTATTGTGCTTTGGCTTCTTAAGCTTTAAAAAAACCTTGATCAAGGCTTGAAGTGATGCCAAAAATGCCTTGCTCAGGTGAGTTTCACAGGATTTGTATCATTTAGAAGTGCCAGGGAGCCTGGTCTGGAGTCTAGCCACAGAACAATACTCCAAGGCAGGCAGTAACTGAGAGCACTTCCCTGCAGGTAAGTGATAATCTCGCCCATCTGCTGCCTTCCCAGCAGTTTTACTTCACAGAGACATTGGCAGTGACTGAACATCAAGCAGCGGCTCACAGTCTCCGCAGCCATAATCAGGTGGGGTCAAATCTTCTGGACCCCAAATGATTTGTTCTATGGGGCGGCTGCCTACAAGTGTAAATTACCCAGTTTGTTACCAAAAAAACCTGTTGGGGTGTTAAAACCAAAGCATTGTTAAAGCAAGCCTTATTCTTTAAAATCACCAGCAATAAATTGCAGCTTGTTGATAAATTGGTTAATTGTGCTATTAGCATTATTTTGATTCACTGAAGGACGGTGTCATTGGAATGACTGAAGCAACTTGCACCTGATTAAGTCACAAAAGGCGATTCATTCAGCTGCTAAGACCGACAGAGCAGACAGCTTGCAATTTCATGCTGGTTCCTGGCAATTACAGATCCCGTACATACCTTCACTGCTAGACTGTTTCTTAAAAAGTGCAAAGTAAGACTATATAGCATGCTACAACATGAAGAGCTAATCTCCATTTCATTAGTACACTGAGCCTCTTTCAGGGCCTGTCTACACTTGAAGTTTATTTCAGAATAGTCATTTCTATCAAAGCAGGTTAAGATAAACCTGCAACAAGGTACTCTTATTCTGGAAAAAGCATGTATAGATGCACTTTGGACATGAATTAGCTATTCCTGGATAATACCACTTTGAATGCACATGCTTACTTAATCTGAAAGAACTTGAGTGTAAACAAGCCCCAAGTAGAATTGACTCATTATGAAGCATTTGCTTAAGCAAGAAAGAGCAGTTTCAATGCAACAGATTTCACCTGCTCTTCTTTTGCCAGATTTAATTATTTTGGGAGGTTTTTTCATTAACACAGTTTCACATTAATGCACGTTATAATAAAGGTAGGCGAGAGAGCATTACTTCTCTATTAGGAGGGTCTGCCTCTGTTACCATTTCCTATTATGACATGCAGGTTTGGATAATTCCATGTGGATAGCAAATATATTACATCATTCTCCTCTGCAAATCTGACAGCCATGCTTAATTCAAAATTTAAACCAATTCAACCATTATGAATTTAAAGCTTGAAACATTTCATTAGACCAAAACTTACCAAAGGTGTTTCTCACCAGGTAGAAACAAAAACTAAATGAGTATTAAATGTTATCAGAAGATTGTGGCATATTCACAAATTCAAGTGTTCCCTCTTAGGGACAAAACCCCCAAAAGATGCACATTACTTACGCCTTCTGGTTCACTTAAGGCAGGCAAGGAAAGCTTGCAATAAAAAAGGGGAAGAGAAATTTCCTATATCACATTACAACACACACTTCCAATTTCTGAGCAGAAGCAAGATCTCCTGTTAGTTAAACTGTGAAAAAGAATGAGGGATCTCACCTGTGTGTCATCTGTGGAGGGGCAATGTTTGCCTTTATCAGACTGTTAAGGCCAGAAAAAACCATTGTATCATACATCACAAAAATAAGCAGGGCTCATCCCCAGTGAAAGCTGTTCCTGGGCGAAACATGTTGGCACTTCATTAGTTTTCTTAGTAAGAAGTCATGCTATTAGTCATGTAGTGTGTTTGCTAAATTATGGACCATGCAGAAAGACACTCATAAACATAATGGTAAGGGGTCTAAGAGTAGGATGAGAAGTTTTTCTTCCACCCAGAATCATCCCAAAAAAGACTCCAGCAAGGAGTCTGCATTTCCCCAAGTAGCTGGCATGTCAATCCCTCACATCTGCTAGCACTCCATAGGACCTTGAAGATGGTAGAGAATATCAAGCCAAGTTAGCTACTTGCCCAAGTAGAAACCAGGAACAGCATCTATAAAGAACAACTGGGCTGGGTAAAGCCAAATGATTTGTAATGACAATATCTGGCAAGAGTGGTTAGTGATATTTTACTGTGCACACTTTGGAGTGTTAGTAGTGAAAGATGGTGCTCTCATGCAATCTAGTGTACAGGGCCCGTACTATATGGCATCAGCATCATCTGGGCATTAACGTGAGCTTCTTCCAAGGCAACGTATTAGCAGCAATTAAAAAGAAAGACCCGAGAAACCAAATTGAAAAAGTGTCTGTTGCTTTAATTGAAAATGTATTTTATACAAACTGGTTCATGGTTGATTAAAAAAAAAAAAAAAATCAGTTTCACAGAGAATGGATGCGAAGTGAGCACATGATGAAAATTTGATACATGAGTTCCTGCATATAGCTGTGATTTTAATATACAGTCCCCAGAATTTTCAACAGTGCCATGGTTGCATTTTTACAGTGGTCTAGACAACAGTCTTTGAGGCAAGGTGCTTTGAGGAAAATGTTAAAACAGCATTGAAAGAGTTAGGTTTTCTTCCTTCCAACGCTTTACAAATCGAAAGTTTAAAATACATAAAAATTTAAGAGACTTCTACAAAAACACTACAGCAACCTATAAGCTAACAGAGGCAACTAGATCTGAATCTAACAGGAGTTTCACATCAGAAAAATGCCTTCAGTTACACAGTCCAGATTGCTTTCCCTTGGCTGCAAAATTATGTTATACTCCAGCTTTTGCTTTGTATCACAAGACAGGAGAATCAGATATGAAACTACAAACCC